CCACGCGATCGGTCACGACGAACAGGGAATCCTCCCCAAGCTGGTAGCGCCGCGCCGCGAGTTCAGGTAAGTCAAACCTGACTCGGGTACCAGACAAGAGGGGATCGACCCGTCGCGCGACCAGCGATGGCAGAATCACGGAGCTGCGTCTGTGAGGGTTGCCTAGGGGCAAGCGCCTCACCAGGCAAAGCGGAACTCAGTCGAGTCCACGCAACCAGCAGGCACCGCTGCCTGGGGTAGGCCCTCGGCAATTCTCTGCGGACCTCCCGCAAGGCGAAAAGCAAAAGCGGAAGCTGCCGTCATGCTCCTCGACCTCCCGAGCTCCATTGCCTCGGCGTCCGAGCCGAGTCAGAGGCTGGGTCTCCTCCGTAAGAGGACCCTAACCCGACCGGTGGACTGCCTGGCGCTGGGCACCACAGGAAGGGAGGAACAGACCGACTGCTCCCGTCAGCGCCAGCCCGGCGTCGCGTGGACCCGGTCCCGAGGCGCTGGAGGCAGGCCAGGCAGAACTGGTGCCTCCGGCTCTCATGGGGCGGGGGTGTGCGCAGGACCCGGGAATACCAGGAATACTCAGCGGCCCAAAGCGCCAAGCTCGAGAGGGGGACTGGGAGCACCTCCCTCTCGGGAGCAGCCCGGCGTCGGACCCGAAGCCAGAGGCAGCGGATGCGACAGAGCGCCTCAAGGCTGAGGGATCTAGCCGAGGCGGCGATCCCACCCGGACTCTCCGCCCCGTCGAGTGGGCGAGGAACTCCTGGCGGAGACCTCCAACCGACTCGAGCGAAGGACTTCATTGAGTCCATCTGCTTCTGAAACATCGACTCCATTAGAGACATGTCAAAACCACTTTCGAAGTGGTAGGAGAGGGGAAGGGCCACGGGATTTTTCCTTTTTGGGCGCCCGTTTAGATTTTGGCGGGGAACCTGCGTCAGGTCCCCTCCGCCTCCTCGCATCTCAAGCGGTAAAACAGGGTGTCGGCCGCCCGCCTCTTCTGTGCCGGGGAAAAGGCCAGACAAATTGAACATGTATCAGCCACATGGCCCGTCTTCTCCAGACAGGCCCGCGCATTGGGAGTGACTGTCAGCCGGGGAATACTTCCCCACAGACCGAACAACAGGTAAAGCCTGAAACAAACACGTAAACATGTTAGTTAACTTGTGGCCAGAAGCAGAGAAACACGTAGAAAACATTGAAAAATACGTGAAGGTTACCACGGAAAGTAATAGTTGGTTTTAAAACGCCAATATGCGACCAGCGGCCGCGCTAAACTTCCCGCCATGGCAGAGCAAACTTGCGTAAACCACGGGAGAAAGTTTATGTATTTTGATAGTACTTATACAAAGTCACAATTATGAAACAACCACTGTAAAGGCTTTACTGTTATTGTTTTAGACAAATAAAACCAAACATACAGGTGGTGTCTCAGACATCTTAAAATACAAGCGCCGTCGGCTCATGAAAGGTAATCACAACGAACGTCTGTTCAGGGCCGTGACAGCAGAAGGAATGATGATACGGGTCTAGGAGCCTACCCAGTTGGTGCGCATGCGCTAAGGGAGGTAACTCCGTGAGGTAGGGTCCGTATAATAAGTAAAAGAGTTTATTTATTGTACAATCTTTTTATTCAAAAAACATTGATACAACTGTCACAGGACATTTTACAGCCGGAAAATGCATAATATGTACCCCAAGGACGATCTCTCTGAAAAAGAATTAGGTTGTGTCTAAAAAATATATAATCCATGTAAAAATAATGCTGTTGTGATTCTGACATCCTCCAGTAGTTGCAGGTCCAGCTTGACAAGCAGTTAAAACATACAGAACAAGGATGGCTGGACGGACTAGTTATGGCAAATGATATAATCCTAAATGGATGATGATGATGATGATGAGCTATAAATAAACAAAGATTAACAAGAAAAATGTGTGTGAAAGTGTGAGTGTGTCTACCTCTGGTGCCAACTTCAAGCAACGGAAAACAAAGTGGAAACATCACTATATAAACACTATAGTAGTGGTGGACAGGGTGTCAGAGGATGATATAGATCTGTCTTCATGTCATTACAATAGTTAACCAAAGAGATATGAGAATATATCAAAACAACACCTGAAACACAAACTCCCAAAACATGCAACAGATTATATAGAGGTGCAATTAAACACATGTAAAATCTATTGTTAGAGACACACAAGTGATTTCTGCCCGACAATGGCAGTTACTGTGGCAGTTAGATATTAACAACAGTAGATGGAACCATGACAGAAAGGCTGCAAAAAGCAGAGAGATCAGTAAGCAAGGTTAGAAGAAGAAAAGCTTCACACAGGGGTGGATGAAGTTAGTCAGGGGAGACTACTCTATCTGCACTCTGTGCTCAAGGAGCGGACATACTTGAGGTGGGAGAGTTTGGTGGCTGCTGCCTCCCCGATGACCACCTCTCGGGCACCCATCTCTCTGAGCAGGGGTTCAGAGGTCAAACCGAACACCCAACCTGCACAATATGCAATATGCTGGCGTTATAACTGCCACGGGTTTATACAAATTAGCGCACTGGACTAACAAGCACCATTCCCATGCGTGTTAAGACTGTCAGACAAAGTGTAGCAATGCTGTTACCTCAACAAATTCTTGTTCATATAAATGTCTGATAAAAATATTCTCTTCTTCAAATGATGAATGATAGTGAAATTAAAATAATCTGAACAAAAACAATGAAACATTATGTGCAACAAATAACAAGATAATTTTCAATCTGACAATCTGACATTCCTACAGGTAGCCCGTGTACCTTGTAAATTAGGGCAGGGTAGTTACAAGTTACACACCTGATAATGAATGTTAGACATGGGTTCAGAACCTGTCGGTAGGGCTGGCTAAAAAGATTGCTATTCGGTAATATCGTTGATGGGAAAATTACATTGTATTAATGATTATCAATATGGGTGAGTGTGTGAGTTTAGTGTTTACACCACTTTTAGCATTATTCCAACAATATCACGGTGGAGGACATCAGAAATGGGCTTCACACAATTTACCCATGTGGGGAATCGAACCTGGGTCTTCTGTGTGACATGTGAACGCTTTAACCACTAGGCTACCCCACCGCCCCTTATCAATATGAAAATTGTGTCATCTGTAATATCATACTTAAACTATTGTGATAAAATAGAGTTTTAATTCACTCAGACATTACAGAAGCCTTCATTTATCGACTGCTTCTAAATTAGGACAATGCTATGTTAATAATCCTGGCCAAAAATATGTCACCACTCACCAGTGATGTGATGATGATTTCCTTCTAATCTTTTTGCATTTTTGCTCAAAGTTACTTCTCCGATATTTATTGATAATCAATCAATATGTAGTCAACGGTTATTGATATCTGTGATCCATATCGACAGCCAGCCCTACTACTTGGCAAAGTGTATATCAGAATACGCTGTGCACAACATAGTAAATAAGTAAAGCTAGTACCCGCGGTAATTTGTAGTTTTAAAATGATATCCATAATATTTTACATGTGCACTCAAACATGAGTGACAATATGGAACTGATTCTGTTATATGTGATTTAGAAACACGCATTAGACATTAGTCAATGACAGATAGCAGAGTGGTAAACGCCTACTGGGACATCTCACAAAAACACATCCAGTCATTTTCAGAAGCCAGACATGACTATTCCCTGTTTGTCATTATCATCTATTTTAGCCATTCAATCCACAGTCCCAACTGACTGACAGTCATGAAGTTGATGAGCTGTGCTACACAATGGGGCCAAGAGTGAATAGAATTTATCTTCATCAAGGAAACACAATACTTATGTTGGTAAAATCCTTCACAACAAATACTGTAGGTACACTGCTCTTCAAAGACCCTTGACAAACTTACCTTCGAGTTCAGTTCTGAGCAAAGTGAGGTGAGGTGAGGTGAAATTGGGTTTAACGTCGTGTTTGAGAATATTTCGCTCATATGACGACGTGCATGCGTGTGTATGTGTATGTGCAGCTGCTTGTACTAGCCCAGACTGAAGCTGGTTTTAAAGTGCTAGCCCACTGAGATACTATGCCGCAGTGAAGCATGAATACCCCACTCAGACACATTATACTGACTCCGAGCCGACCAGTCCTTGTTGTACCCATTAATGCCGAGCGCCAGGCAGGGACCAACAAGTACCACATTTTAACGTCTTTTGGCATGGCGCGGTCGGGGATCGAACCCGCGACCTTCCGCTCTCCAGGCGGACGCTCTAACCACTACACCACGGAGGCGGCCCTGAGCAAAGTGAACCCTAGACACCTAGCTCATTAACATACAACTCATTATGACAAAATAGACCCCCAATAGTCAACATAATGTAAAGCCCTTGGTTTGTCATGTCTCTATGGTAAATGTACATAGTTAGCGCACATAATGCCACACAAATTTACACAGCTTTTAGGTGTATTCCAGAAATATAATGACTGAAAACACTGGATATGAGCATTGTAAGGAGAATGGAGACCAGGTCTTCAGCATGACGGGCAAACATTTAACCACAAGGCCACTGAACAGTCCCTGTCACAAAAAAGAGGTTGGTTGCCTCTCTAATACATGACGTGATTATAACCTTATCCATGTACCGGTATGTCATCTTTACCCCTCACTGGGACACATGACCACTAAATATCTCATGTTAATCTCCATGTACATCAGCCATCTTTCCAAAGATGAAAGTTAGAGAAAAAAAAATAAATCAAACAATATTAAAATGTGGATGAAAATTGAAAAACGACAAAACATTTTCATAAAGCATTTGCGAACCACATCTTACATCTGACATACATATATTTAGATGCTATCAAAAAGCAAGCTGAACATCTGTCCATATTTCTAAAAACATGCAGTTACCATGGTGACAGAAATCATGCCTCAACATTTACTGTAATTTCTGTAACTAAAGCATGCAGTTAGGACAGATACATAAGCAACGAACATCCATGGGTCCAAGGTTATAACAAGGTTACCTCAGAGACACAATTTTTTCCTTTCCTTCTGAAGTAAATGTCATCGTATCTTTTCCCGTTTCTTTGTGAAATGGTGCCGATGTGAGGGAAAACAGCCAGCCTGTAACCATGGTAACGGTTTCTCTTGCGTTTATGAATGGAATAGAAAGATAGCTTATCCTGCCTACTACATACACAGTGACAAAAGACCTGTGAAGATCCGGGTTAGAACTGATCTTCAGTAACCCATGCTTGTCGTAAGAGGAGACAAACGGGATCGGGTGGTCAGGCTTGCTGACTTGGTTGACACATGTCATGGTTCCCAAATGAGTAGATCGATGCTCATGCTCGATTATTTACAGACCCCTGCCATATAGCTGGAATATTGCTGAGTGTGGCGTAAAACTAAACTCACTCACTCACACCACAGACTTCATAACCAGACCAGACTAAAGACGTATATCCAGGAAGGAAGTTTCAGATGTTTGTCTCACAGCAATATTTCATTACAAAAAACTTAAAAAAGCCTCTAAAGTCAACAAAATGAAAGTCATTTGGGAATAAAGGGTAAAGGTTGGATAGACTTTTGAAGTAACAAAACTCAAATATTAAATGCAAAATATCGTCAACCTAAACATCCTGTGTTTGTTTTGTATATAGCGCCAGTAAGGTACTTGCCAGCATAAGTGGAGCAGACGATCTCATCATAACCTGGAGTTGTGACCACACCGCCTTGTACCGACGTGACGCTCTCACTGCACGTCTGAAATAGTCCAACACATACTACAGGATCGGGTAGAATTTGTTAATACTGATATATTATATATTCAGGAGAACATACAAGACATTATTTGAGTGTAAAACATTTCTCTAAAATGACATATTTAAATATGTTGTTGAAATCAGTCTTCTGGTTAATAGTACTTAGCCAGTTCTCCAAGTAGCTGAACTTTCAAGGAGAATCAAAGTGAATGCAGCAGTTGATTCTTTGACTGTGAGAGATGAGTTTAATCACAGTGACTAGTCCCTGTTTTATCCACTTAATGGAAAGTCTATCTGTAGGACATGGCCAGGAATCGAATTGATCTCGTCATCTTCTGGCAGACACTCTACCCTCTTGACCATTAAGTGAGTGAGTGAGGGTTGGAGTGAGTGAGTGAGTGAGTGAGAGAGGGTTGGAGTGAGTTAGTGAGTGAGGGTTGGAGTGAGTGAGTGAGTGAGTTGGGTTTTACACTGCTTTTAGCAATATTCCAGCAATATCACGGCGGAGGACACCGGAAATGGGCTTCACACATTGTACCCATGTGGGGAATTGAACATGGGTCTTCAGCCGTGACAAGCAAATGCTTTAACCACTAGGCTACTCTACCGCCCCTCTAGACCACTGAGATGGTGGACTGTGTAACAGTGATGAACATGACAGACAGCTACAAGATTCTGGACAGATGATGACTCCCAGCAACAAGAGGAAAACAGTGATCAGATAATGAATGTGACTGACAGCTACAAGATTATGAACATGTCTTACATGGCTGTATCTCCAGATAGGTTCCTCAGCCTCGTCAAAGCTGTACACCTCCACCAGACCATCGTCCCTCCCCACCAGGAGGTCCAGCACACCATCGGCGGTGATGTCGTAGTTGGCCAGACTCAACACACCTGTATACATAAACAGTCACATGTAACACGTCCAGCACACCATTGGCGGTGATGTCGTAGTTGGCCAGACTCACCTGTATATAAAAACACCTGTATATACAAACAGTCACGTGATGTCATAGTTGGCCAGACTCAACGTCCAGCACACCATCACATGTAACGGTGATGTCATAGTTGGCCAGACTCAACACACCTGTATACATAAACAGTCACGTAAAACAGTACGTCCAGCACACCATCGGCGGTGATGTCATAGTTGGCCAGACTCAACACACCTGTATACATAAACAGTCACGTAACACGTCCAGCACACCATCGGCGGTGATGTCGTAGTTGGCCAGACTCAACACACCTGTATATACAACCAGACATGCATAACACGTCCAGCACACCATCGGCGGTGATGTCATAGTTGGCCAGACTCAACACACCTGTATACACAAACAGTCACGTGTAACACGTCCAGCACACCATCAGCGGTGATGTCATAGTTGGCCAGACTCAACACACCTGTATACATAAACAGTCACGTGTAACACGTCCAGCACACCATCGGTGGTGATGTTGTAGTTGGCCAGACTAAACACACCTGTATATACAACCAGATATACATAACACGTCCAGCACACCATCGGCGGTGATGTCATAGTTGGCCAGACTAAACACACCTGTATATACAACCAGATATACATAACACGTCCAGGACACAACATCAACATTGTGTTGACACAAAGTATACGTAACACAACAGTAAAAGTAGTTATATTATCAGGGCACTGCTACAAAAATAATTCCTTGAAGTGAAATCAGACAAATATTTGTAAAAGGGAATAATAACCTCCCCAAAATTGACAGTTTTTGACAAAGTCTTTTTCATAAAGTTTCTATACTACACTGAAATAACTTAGTTTTCCTTGTAGTATATTTTCACCTTTGTTTGTATTTGCAAACCTTGAAATGCACGTGTACAATGTTAATAATAGTTTTCAAAATGTTGTACATAACAAATAATGACAAATCTGGGCGGATATTTGAAATTATGATATGTGATGACCTACCTCCATTCTTCTTCTCATTGGGCAGCTCCCATCTGTGAGTAGGGGCCAGTCTGTAACAGGGGACACTATTAGGATATGCTTGGACTACCACAACACGCATACATTACAACAACACTCTCAGATTACAGCATACTTGGATTACAACACACTCAGTATGCTGTACAAGACATTAAGGTTACAATAGACAATGTTACAGCACACTTTGGTTACAGTACACTTCAGTTACGGCACACTTAGGTTACAACAAACTAGGTTACAGCACACTTTGGTTACAGCACACTTGGTTACAACACACTTAGGTTACAGCACACTTAGGTTACAGCACACTTAGGTTACAACACTCTTAGGTTACAACACACTTAGGTTACAACACACTTAGGTTACAACACACTTAGGTTACAGCACACTTAGGTTACAACACACTTAGGTTACAGCACACTTAGGTTACAACACACTTAGGTTACAGCACACTTAGGTTACAGCACACTTAGGTTACAGCACACTTAGGTTACAACACACTTAGGTTACAACACACTTAGGTTACAACACTTAGGTTACAGCACAGGTTACAACACGCTTTAGGTTACAACACACTTTAGGTTACAGCACACTTAGGTTACAACACACTTAGGTTACAACACACTTAGGTTACAACACTCTTAGGTTACAACACACTTAGGTTACAGCACACTTAGGTTACAGCACACTTAGGTTACAACACACTTTAGGTTACAACAGGTTACACACACCTAGGTTACAACACACTTAGGTTACAACACACTTACAACACACTTAGGTTACAACACACTTAGGTTACAGCACACTTAGGTTACAACACACTTAGGTTACAGCACACTTAGGTTACAGCACACTTAGGTTACAACACACTTAGGTTACAACACACTTAGGTTACAGCACACTTAGGTTACAACACACTTAGGTTACAACACACTTAGGTTACAACACACACTTAGGTTACAACACACTTAGGTTACAGCACACTTAGGTTACAACACACTTAGGTTACAACACTCTTGAATTACAGCACACTGACTGACTGACTGAGTTTGGTTTTACGCCGCTTTTAGCAATATTCCAGCAATATCACGGCGGGGGACACCAGAAATGGGCTTCACTCATTGTACCCATGTGGGGATTCGAACCCGGGTCTTCGGCGTGACGAGCCAACGCTTTAACCACTAGACTACCCCACCGCCCCTACAGCACACTTATGTTACAGGACACTTAGATTACAGCACTTAAGTTACAGCACACACAGGTTACAGCACTCATCAGTTACAGCACACTAGCCTACAGCACTTATGTTACAGCACACTAGGTTACAACACTCTTGAATTACAGCACACTTATGTTACAGCAAACTTATGTTACAGCACACTTAAGTTACAGCACTCATCAGTAACTGCACACTTAGGTTACATCACTTAAGTTACAGCACACTTAGGTTACATCACTTAAGTTACAGCACACATAGGTTACAGAAATTATGTTACAGCACACTTAGGTTACAACGCTTCGGTTACAGCACACTAGGTCACAACACCTAAGTTACAGCACACTTAGGTTAAAACACTCTTATGTTACACTACAGCACACTTAGGCTACAGCACACTAGGTTACAGCATACTTAGGTTAGAGATTTATGTTACAGCACACTAGGTTACAACACTCTTATGTTATAACACACTTAGGTTAGAACACACTAGGTTACAACACACTTATGTTATAACACTCTTAGTTTACAACACAGGTTACAGCACACTTAGGTTACAACACACTTAGGTTACAATACACTTAGGTTACAGCACACTTAGGTTACAACACACTTAGGTTACAATACACTTAGGTTACAACACACTTAGGTTACAATACACTTAGGTTACAGCACACTTAGGTTACAGCACACTTAGGTTACAACACACTAGGTTTTCTCCCATCTCGCATACAAGATGAAATAGAGGAAAGTAAAAAGACAACTCACGTGCCGAACTGTACGAGCCCCACTCTACCATCTGACGTACCAAACAGAATCTCGTTGCCATCATCACCTGTAAAAAAACATTAAAAGCAGGTAAACAAACCGAGATGATGAAGTCTTAGAAGTTATTGCATGTCCAAACAGTGATAAGAGTTAGTGAGTCTAATGACACAGCAATAGCACAGCTGCAGAATGACAAACCTGTGACTCAAAGCATCACTGATGAACTCTACTGTGGATGTACTAGGACACATCAACAGCCAGCAGACTCTTACAGAAGCATCAGATTTTAACAAGACAATTACAGCAAGATTATGAACCATCAACTTGCAGACTCAATCTAAATTGCATAACCGGTGCCATGAGTGAAGCTGAAGCACCGTTACTCTGAAAGCTGTGAAACCACTGACTACAAGATTGACAGACAACAGATTTTTGAGTTTAGACACAAACAATTGGGTTTATAGAAACTGAATCACACTGTCCAAATGGCTAACTTCACAGACCTCAGCCTCTTTAACCATACATTGCTGTTAGCCCTGTTTTCTCCCCAGTTCTATGTTTGATAATGACAATGGTCTGTCCCTGTAGTAAGTGACCATGGGTGTGGCCACTGCTAGACTCCACTCACCTGCATCGTTCCCGTACAGCTCCAGCACGACCGGCGGACCCGGCACCTCCACCTCGTACAGCAACTCTGAATGCTGCACATAAACATCCTTACATTAGTACACAGAATGACACGTAATTCATTGAAGGTCACATGCAACCAAAAAATCAAACATAATTAAAACACAATTATCACTTATTCTTGACATATAATATACATTGCTGGTTATGAAAAAACATATAAACAAAATTATAAGCGTACAATCGCAAATCAAAAGTGCAATATTGTGTACTTGGGTTTACTTCCCAAGAAACGAAGCAGCCGGGATACCGAACCCAGTCAGAGCGGGTGGGTGTGCACTCAAGTGTAACGGCTGGTTCATTTGCATATGCCCTCACGGCTTATTGTGTGTGTATATGTAGAGATGTTGTGTTTTGTAAATACATGCTCATTTTTTTGTGTATAACATTTTGCAATCAATAGACATCATAACATGTCATGTGTTCAACTATCACACCTGCCTGTCTGTGTAATTACATAATGTGACAGAGACCGAACTCGGGCCATAAATCAATGCATTTTGTTTATGGTGTATAGCCTGATTGGTGTTAAGTTCAAATTGCATGTGGTCAGTGATCGCAGTTGTGTATTGAATATTGTCATTAGCAGACAGGCAGGCAGACACACAGGTGTCAATAAAACAAGACATTGAGTTTTGTCTGTGACAACGACATATCTATATCACAGTTAGAAATTCTGTCAACGCTAAATAATGACATTGCTTTTAAGTATCGAACTGAGAAAGTGACTCGGTAAGAAGAACGTGTGGTGAAATTATATAAACAGTTAATTTACTGTCATAACATATAAAAAGCTTGCTTCTGTGAGATATCAACAAAACATTAGAAAAATAGCTCACACCAAAGCCTTCACCGAGTATTCACGGGACAACCCGCTTCCAAGCTGCGTGAACCTATTTCACTGCGCACGTGCTATGAGCGCAGCCCAGCTGTTGAAACCCGTTTTCCCCAGAAAAGTCGGGGGAAAATTAGTGAAACGTTTGAACTCCGATTTCGTGCGGGTTTTTTCATCGCGTTATTTTTCAACTTTATAAGTTGAATTTGCATTTTTGACGATTTGTTTCGGTAAGTCCATACCGAAAGGTATCAGAATCTGCAAAGTTGTGTTTTACGTTGCATGTGACCTTTAATCACCTTCGTTCTCGGTTATAAGCAAAATAAGGGCCAGTGAAGATCCTGTTTAGAATTGGTCTTCAGCAACCCATGCTTGTCGTAAAAGGCAACTAACGGAATCGGGTGGTCAGGCTCCCTGACTTGGTTGACACATGTTACCATATCTCAATTGTGTAGATCGATGCAATGATGTCAATCACTGGAGCATCTGGTCCAGACTTATTTAAAGTCTGCCGTCATATTGCTGGAATATTGCTGAGTGTGGTGTAAAACTAAACTTACTCACTTACTGCTCAGTGCAGCGTTAAAAAAACAAAACAGACTAGGTGACAGAGGGAATACAACCCAAGCTCCGTTAGAGGCGCTGGAATGTTACAGTAACACTACGTCCTCAGTGTACAGGGTACACCTTCACTTGTGGATGAACAAAGGCATATTCCAAACTGTCGATTGTTCAAGAAGACACCACATATGCTGCATGGACCGAAACACTGAAACTCTCAAGCTGGCGAACATGGTGACCAACTCAACTACTCCCTGTGACAAACATGGCTAACCTGATCTGTGACCTGTGCAATGAACATATGTTTAACATGCTGCTCGTTCCTCTACCTGAAGTGATCGAAGCACACGGTCCTGGCAGGCGAGGATTGGAATCACATCAGGTATCTTGTCCATGGGAAGTGTGATGACGTCGTTGATCTTATCTCCACACAGGTAGTGGTTGATGTCCTTGCAGTCACGGTAGTGGTTGTAGATGAAGTTCCCGCACGTGAACAGATCAGAACCTTCAACATACCTACAACACAGCAAGTCATCTTGTTATCAAGGTTGTTGCAGCTCGTTCATTGCAGAAATCTTGACTAAGAAAAATAATCTTACAATACAATTTGCTGTAAACAATTTTTTGCTATTAAAAGCCTTTTGAAGAGACACAGAGAAATATTCATTTGAGCTTGTGTGCTACTGTCTTAAACATACATATGTTGAGATGAATGTTTTGATAATGTGGGGGCGGTGGGGTAGCCTAATGGTTAAAGCGTTGGCTCGTCACGCCGAAGACCCGGGTTCGAATCCCCACATGGGCACAATGTGTGAAGCCCATTTCTGGTGTCCCCCGCCGTGATGTTGCTGGAATATTGCTAAAAGCAGCGTAAAACCAAACTCAGTCAGTCAGTCTGATAATGTGAGCATACAGACTTGGCAAAAACAACAGTACAAATCTACAGGTTTCATATTTTGGTTCAGCATTAAATTCAATGTAGTAGTGAATTGTTTGTTTTTATGTTTTGGGTGGCAAATTATATGTCCGGGTGGCAATTCCTGGTCAGTCAGTCTGATAATTTGTCTTAGAGAAATATACATACAGACTTAAGCAGCAAGAACAACAGTATGTTTTTATAAATGTATTCTTCCTTGAAAAAATAGACTTAAAAGGAATGGTCCCTATCTTTGACGTAAGTCTTACTAACAATTAATTACGGTACACTCAGTAAGCTCAATAATAAGCTGGGACTGGAAGTTGCCCCAGTGCTTATTAGAGGAAATACAGTAATAATTATGGTGTTAAAATTAACAGCTGAGGGAGTCACTGGATAATAATTCAACAGTCCAAAATGTCAGGCAAGAGGGGATCTTCCATGAGGTGGTGAAGTGAAAGGGATTTAACGCTTGGATGGAAATTATTCCACTTATAAAGTGATGTGCACGCTCTATTTACTTGACTATGGAGGCTGGGGATCAAACCAACTAAAGTCTATCCAGTACACACATAAGACTTGGGGCCAGAGGGCCAAACCACTGATGCTCTGTCCAATAGACCACAAAGGCTGGGGATAACAAAACTATGGTCAGTCCACTACACCCACAAGACTTGGGACCTCTGATGCTCTGTCCTATAGACCACAAAGGCTGGGGATAACAAAACTACGGTCAGTCCACTACACCCACAAGACTTGGGACCTCTGATGCTCTGTCCAATGGACCACAAAGGCTGGGGATAACAAAACTACGGTCAGTCCACTACCCCCACAAGACTTGGGACTTCTGATGCTCTGTCCTATAGACCACAAAGGCTGGGGATAACAAAACTACGGTCAGTCCACTACACCCACAAGACTTGGGACTTCTGATGCTCTGTCCTATAGACCACAAAGGCTGGGGATAACTAACCTACGGTCAGTCCACTACACCCACAAGACTTGGGACCTCTGATGCTCTGTCCAATAGACCACAAAGGCTGGGATAACTAACCTCACGGTCAGTCCACTACACCCACAAGACTTGGGACCTCTGATGCTCTGTCCAATGGACCACAAAGGCTGGGGATAACAAAACTACGGTCAGTCCACTACCCCCACAAGACTTGGGACTTCTGATGCTCTGTCCTATAGACCACAAAGGCTGGGGATAACAAAACTACGGTCAGTCCACTACACCCACAAGACTTGGGACTTCTGATGCTCTGTCCTATAGACCACAAAGACTGGGGATAACTAACCTACGGTCAGTCCACTACACCCACAAGACTTGGGACTTCTGATGCTCTGTCCTATAGACCACAAAGGCTGGGGATAACAAAACTACGGTCAGTCCACTACACCCAAAGGCCTGGGACCTCTGATGCTCTGTCCAATGGACCACAAAGACTGGGGATAACAAAACTACGGTCAGTCCACTACACCCACAAGACTTAGGACCTCTGATGCTCTGACCAATAGACCACAAAGGCAGGGGATAACAAAACTACAGTCAGTCCACTACACCCACAAGACTTGGGACCTCTGATGCTCTGTCCAGTAGACCACAAAGGATGGGGATAACAAAACTATGGTCAGTCCACTACACCCACAAGACTTGGGACCTCTGATGCTCTGTCCAATAGACCACAAAGGCTGGGGATAACAAAACCACGGTCAGTCCACTACCCCCACAAGACTTGGGACCTCTGATGCTCTGACCAATAGACCACAAAGACTGGGGATAACAAAACTACGGTCAGTCCACTATACCCACAAGACTTGGGACCTCTGATGCTCTGACCCATAGACCACAAAGGCTGGGGATAACAAAACTACGGTCAGTCCACTACACCCACAAGACTTGGGACCTCTGATGCTCTGACCAATAGACCACAAAGACTGGGGATAACAAAACTACGGTCAGTCCACTACACCCACAAGACTTGGGACCTCTGATGCTCTGACCAATAGACCACAAAGACTGGGGATAACAAAACTACGGTCAGTCCACTACACCCACAAGACTTGGGACCTCTGATGCTCTGACCAATAGACCACAAAGACTGGGGATAACAAAACTATGGTCAGTCCACTACACCCACTAGACTTGGGACCTCTGATGCTCTGTCCTATAGACCACAAAGGCTAGGGATAACAAAACCACGGTCAGTCCACTACACCCACAAGACTTGGGACCTCTGATGCTCTGACCAATAGACCACAAAGACTGGGGATAACAAAACTACGGTCAGTCCACTACACCCACAAGACTTGGGACCTCTGATACTCTGACCAATAGACCACAAAGACTGGGGATAACAAAACTACGGTCAGTCCACTACCCCAACAAGACTTGGGACCTCTGATGCTCTGTCCAATAGACCACAAGGCTGGGGATAACAAAACTACTGTCAGTCCACTCCACCCACAAGACTTGGGACCTCTGATGCTCTGACCAATAGACCACAAGGCTGTGGATAACAAAACTACGGTCAGTCCACTACACCCACAAGACTTGGGACCTCTGATGCTCTGTCCAATAGACCACAAAGGCTGGGGATAACAAACTACTGTCAGTCCACTACCCCCACAAGACTTGGGACCTCTGATGCTCTGTCCAATAGACCACAAAGGCTGGGGATAACAAAACTACGGTCAGTCCACTACACCCACAAGACTTGGGACCTCTGATGCTCTGTCCAATAGACCACAAAGGCTGGGGATAACAAAACTACGGTCAGTCCACTACACCCACAAGACTTGGGACCTCTGATGCTCGATCCACTATGTAAGGTTGATCACACCTCCTCTTTTTCACTATGAATAGGTTTTGAAAAACATCTATAATTCAGTGATGTTAATGATGCCACCTTCTAACAAAATATTACTGAGCAAACCTGCACTTTAAAGATATGACTTAAAAATTACTGACAGAAATTGTTTACAGATGTGAAACAGTGTACTGTCTGCATAAAAGGATAAACATTGAGACGCCGCTTAACATATATTTGCCAAGATTAGAGATACTGACCAATACAACAGAACATCTTACATGGACTGTATTGGTTCCGACATGTTCGTGTCAAAGGCCAGGAAATTCTTCCCCTTCTTTGTAAAACCTCTGACCTCAGGTCCTGATGCCACAAATATCCTCTCCTTCAAACCACCCACTGGTCCTGCAACTTCGAGGCGGATGATCTTCGGACCAGGAGGAGTTGCAAATACTAGCTGAAACAAAGAAACATTATTCTTCAGAAACACTGTCGTCATGACTCCCTGGTACATGAGGGAACAGTTTGTTTTAATGTTGCTGTGGGATACGTTTCACAAAGCAACCGTAGCAATACGACTCTCATATCTCATATACTTTAACATAGAGTTATGACAACCATAGCAATACGACTCTCATATCTCATATACTTTAACATAGAGTTATGACAACCGTAGCAATATGACTCTCATATCTCATATACTTTAACATAGAGTTATGACAACCGTTGCAATACGACTCTCATATCTCATATACTTTAACATAGAGTTATGACAACCATAGCAATATTTAATGACTCATATCTCATATACTTTTAACATAGAGTTATGACAACCATAGCAATACGACTCTCATATCTCATACTTTGATATGACAACCATAGCATTGAGTTATGACAACCATAGTATCTCATATACTTTAACATAGAGTTATGACTGATCTCTCTCTCTCTCTGATTAGATTTAATGTCAAGGTCTTCTCTTTGTCCGACAAAATAGGTACCAAATAAGTAAGATCTTAAATCATGATATATAGATAACAAGCAGAATCTAAGTTTGTCTAATTCACTGTCTATCATTACTTACCTGAATTTCTCCCTTCTTCATGCCGAAACACTGAAGGACACCTTGTTGGTCTGCCACAGCAATCTACACACAGAACACGGCACACAACATAACATCAGACAGTGACATCAGGCCTTGTTTCCTAAAGCAATCTTAGCGCTAAGATGATTCTACCTGTGATACTTCCAACAAATTATCACTGCGATGACTTATGATAGTTTTAGTGCTTACATTGCTTTGAGTACTTCATGTCAAAATTTCTTGGGATGAAAAAACAACAAAACTTACAAAAGTTCCTGATCACAGAAATAAAGAGGCAAGTTGGAACCCACAACTAGTGGAGCCTGAGCAGACTAAGGGAGACAACTGTACACAACAAGTTGTTATGACTGACTGACTGAGTTTGGTTTTACGCTGCTTTTAGCAAAATTCCAGCTACATCACGGCGGGGGAAACCACAAATGGGCTTCACACAATGTACCCATGTGGGTATTCGAACCCAGGTCTTCGGCGTGACGAGCCAACGCTTTAACCACTAGGCTACCCCACAGCCCCACAAGTTGTTATGAAACAGGTCACGTCTACTCCTATATATACTGAGAGGCAAAAGAAACATCATGATATTGGAAATGACATTTAAGTATCAATGGAGTATCCGAACTTTTTTTTTTATACATAACGGAAGTCAAGTTTGAGGAAAACATGAATCGTGGTCGTATAGCCTGTATTGCCCAATAAAGTATTGTTTGAGATTAGAAATGTTTTTGTTTGTGGAAAGGGAAGAGTTCGCACAAACACATCATTGAAATCGAGATGCATGCACATCATGCATGCATTCAGACATAAATTGCCGGTTTGAATGGTAATCGTTCACTTGTTTTCTGAACACAGCAGCTATGGCTAGGTTAACCAGAGATCAACAGCAACAAGCCATTGGATATCTGGACGCTGGTCCAGACGTATCTTTTGCCTTTCAGTATATTTAGTATGTTCAGTTTTTGCTTAAAGCAGTTTTTCAACTACATGACAGCAGTCTGTAAATAATCAGGTCTGGACAAGGCAATCCAGTGATTAACATCATAAGCACCAATCTGAGCAATTGGGACATGACATGTATCAACCAAGTCAGTGAGCCTGACCGTCTCATACTGTCAGTTGCATCTCACAACAAGCACAGGTTGCAGAACACCTAGTCTAACCTAGGTCTCACAGTGGTCATCCCGTACAATATAAGCTTGTCATACCTTCTGTGTTTTTCCTGACATTGGGAGCAGCCTCATTGTCTTGGGAGAAGTGATTCCCACCTGAAATATGCATAATTTCAGAATATATACTATGATACCCACGATAATGAAGACAGTATTGCTTAATGAGTACAATTTGACAAGATTTGAGACATAAGGATTTCATTGAAGGTGTTAGATCAGATTTGCATTTTGTCAACATATCTTTTGGAACATATATCACTGGAAGAGAAAAATGTCTTGTAAATAATCAATACACGTACGATTTTAGAAAGACTGCACACAAACTTTACCATGTTTAGTATGACTCTATGAGTCTATGACACTGAACACATTCATGTTCTCATCACTAATAATCTAAGATTTAAATGCAGTAAATGACGACTCACACATAGTTATAATGTTTGTTTCCAGTTATCTTTTGCAAACCCAGTTACTGACAATAATGGAAAATCCAAACTTGAAGTAAAATACTTATTGTTGGCCTGCACCATAGGCCAACGTTCGTGATCGAAAACAGAACACTTACCGGGATATTCAGTTAAATCATTTCACGTTAATAAAAATGGGTTAATATTTTCACATGTCGTTACCTGCTGATAGTCTACTCGCGTAAGATTTAATTCCATCATTTTGAATGTCTTCTTTTTGCGACAGGCTTGAATTAACGTCAAAAAATGAACACTTGTCTCAATTTGTTGATCTTCCCGACCGAATATGTGTACAAGCTCCGCACTGAAGAAATTATCCGTTTTAATTAGACATACTGTTTTTAATCTATATATAAGAAAAAAAATTTAAATACTACATTTCCACACTCATGATAATTACTTTTGATAATATGTACAATTTTAGAAGGTGAGCATAGCCTCCATTACTCCGTACACTATGAGCAGAAGTGCCGTCATCCCTTGGAGCTGCTGTAAGAGGACAGAAAAATGGGTGTGTTTGTACTTGCAGCGCGAAATACGAAGATTTAACTGTCGTAAGTTCGGAGAGTGGTGTTATCTGTCTATCATGAAAGAAGGACCCTGTTCGACATATTTTTATAAGAAAAGAACTGTAGCCTATATGTACAAAAATGTTTGCATAGTTGCCTAATCATTATTAAGTAAAGTGACATCTTCACTGTAAAAAACACAGGGACGCGCTGAACATGGGAATCACCTTTATTGGATTCACATCAATATCTGTTCACATACGACATTGGCGTGGCAATGCAATGAGAAAGGAAGATATCGTGAGTCATGCATTAGGGAACACCGGTGCCATTTAGTTTCTAATTACAGATGGGGGCCTCAAACCATCGCCGCCAGACATAAGTTGACATAAGCAAAATTATGCAGGTATCCTACAAAGCTTGTGTTTGTTTTATATGTTATAATGTTCATAGCTTTATTTGTTTTCATTTGGGAGAAATAAGAACTGTATGTCATAGTCCATGCAAAACTTCTCATTCGTTTCTATTATTGTTTGAAGTGTCATAAAATCTCTGCATGTTGTCCAAGGAGCAGCTCAAATTTTCCAGATGTGTTGGACTAACTCTCCCTCCCAATATAAATATCGTTATTAACTGGTGTCACAAAGTGGGGTGGGTAGATATAGGAACAGAGATTGTCCGTCTGACCTTCCATCCATCAGTCCTTCTGTCCTGTTTTCTATCTGCCATCTGCTTCTCAGTGGAGACAAATATTCTCAAAAAATATTTTAGTGAGAGAAATGAAATTTGGTGTTACTTGTCAGTATATCTCAGAGCTCCAGATAAGATTTAGCTCATATGGGTACTGTACCCACTGTATTTTTTTGGAGTGGGTATTATGAATGTTGAGTGGGTATTTCATTTTCCGTTACCCACTGCTTTCAAATATGTGGGTATTTCAGTCATTTTACTCACCTAAGTATATGTCATTGAGTAAGTTTACTAAGCAGGTATGTTCTGCCTTATGTCATACCTAATCAAAACCAACTTTAATATAATTGTAGCAGCTTTAAGTGTGCATCTTGATAAAGGTGACAACACGGCTACAGTGGCACCAAAAATACCTTGACAGTAGTGAAGTAACTGAAATTAGTACACTTGCTGCAGTCTGTTGGTGACTTCTCTGTCCAGTGACTAAGGTGCAAGTGAGGGTTAAAAAGCATGCAAGCTAAGAACAATAGGGTCAGCCACTCAACCAGAACATTTGCCCTGGTTTAAACAAAAGGAAGTGATAGGTAAGTGACTGACCCAAGCATATCCAAGTTAAACTATTTAAGGTGTAGCATCACCTCTTAATTAAAATCCTTCACACCCGTAATGCTAACTAATATCAATAGCTACTAACTAATAACTAAAACTAATAACTAATACTAATGCTAATACCAATACTATATTCACTATATACTAATAACTAGTACTAATTCTAACACAAATACTAATGTCACTATTAATACTAATACTAATTACAGTGGTGTACAGTGTATGGTTTATTTTACAGTAACACAAATATATGTGACTGCCACACTTCCTCGCCTTTAATGATCGCCCTCGCTATTTCTTGCTTACCAGCAACCAAGTTGATTAGAGCATCCAGTGCTTTCTCTGATCTACCCAAGAAATACACCCTTAGCCATTAGGAGCTAAGGTACTCTCTGCCACCAAGCCAGTCTGATGACGGTGATGATGATGATGGAGATGTTGCAGACATTACATAATCTCCTCTGAGCTGCCATGCTGGTCTTGTTCTCTCTCTGGTAGATCTCCTTGGTGCTGGTATAGGTGGGACTACTACATTAGGCTGGGTCTGTGTGTCACCAGGACTATCTTCAGGAGTGGGTGGTTCATTCTGTGAAGATTCTGCTGCATCCTGCTCTGTTCCATGAGCGTCAGAGCTGTGAGCATCCTCAGCAACATCGACCACGTCTTCTTCTCCTGCCTTGACCCCACCCGAAACAGCACTGTCTTGTGCCTCTCCCTCAGTCGGCCTGTCATCTGGATTATCAGCTGACACTGACGGGTCTGATGGGTCATGAGAAACAACAATAGTGATATTGTCTGTTTCTTCTTCCTGGTCCTGATCGTCTTCAGACAAAGGATTCCTGTTGTCCTTGGTTGATGGTCCAAGCAGTGTCCTGTCTGAGTTTCTCAGCTTTGGAATTGGTGTCTCCAATGGTAAGGAACTGATGGGCAAAAGCAGTTTCCTAAGGAGTGTATGAGTTCTTCTATCTCCACGCTCTTTCTGTACAACATAAACTGGAATGCTTGGGTTTGGCTGTTTCAGTACAATATAGACATCCTCTTCCCACTTGTCTGATAGTTTATGTTTCTCAGCAAATGCCACCTTTTTCACTAGTACCCTGTCTCCAATTTCCAGTTTGGTGGCTCTCGCTCTGTAGTCATAGTTTGACTTGTTCCTTGACTGTGACTTTTTGGCATTAGCAGATGCGAGTTCATAAGCCTGTGTTAGATTGTCCTTGAGGTTCTTGATGTACTTAGTCATTGATCTCGACTTTTCTGGCTCAATGTCTAGACCAAATGCCAAATCTACTGGCAATCTTGGAGCTCTCCCAAACATGAGGTAGAATGGTGAATAATTTGTAGATTCGTGCCTTGTGCTGTTATATGCATGTACCAAAGGTCCAACGTGGCTCTTCCAATCCTTCTTGTTCTCTGGGTCAAGTGTTCCAAGCATGTCAAGAAGTGTCCGGTTAAACCGTTGGCACATGCCATTGCCCATGGCATGATAGGGTGTTGTGCGAGACTTCTGTATGTTGGTCAACCTGCACAGTTCTTTCATAAGAGCTCCTTCAAAGTTGGCACCTTGATCCGAATGAATACACACAGGTAATCCATAATGTACCACAAAGTTGTGAAAGAAAACATCAGCAGTGGTCTTGGCAGTCATATTTCTGGTTGGATACGCCTGTGCATATCTGGTGAAATGATCAGTCACTACAAGAATATGTTGTTGTCCGCCCTTGGATGGTTCCAGTGTTAAAAAGTCCATACAAACTAGTTCCAGAGGGTGTGATGTCTGTATGTTCACTAATGGGGCTCTTCCTGGGGTAGTCTTGTGTCTAGTGCACCGTTCACAATTCTGTACATGCATCTCTATATCCTTTGTCATCCCTGGCCAGAAGAATCTTGCTTTCACCAGTGACGATGTCCTATCTCGGCCAGGATGACCAACGTTGTCATGGAGACAACGCAGCACTCCTCTGCGGCATCTTGTTGGTAGCACTAGCTGTTCTTGTACCTCACCGTTGTATTGGGTTACTCAATAGAGCACACCTCTCTTCAGTTTGAAGTAGTCAAAGCTCTTCAGCAGAGTAATCATTTCTTTGTTTCCAGTGTAGTCTGTGTAACATGGTCTTGTCCGATTCCTAAGATGTAGCATAATGATATCCAGAGATGGATCTCTTGCTTGAGCTCTCCGCTAGTCTGTAGCATTGATGGAACAGGTTTCATCAGTGATGTTTAGTTCTTCATCAGGCAAAACGTCCGCTGATAAACAAACACTTTCCAAAAGGTTGGTAGGTAAAACTGTGCCACAAACAGCCTGTACAGAGTCTTCAGAGATTAATTCCATGTGGTCTTTGTTTCATTGGACTCGAAGCCTAGACAGTACATCAGCATCCATATTGGCTTTCCCTGCTCTGTACTTGATGTCGGTTGTATGATGCAAGGGCAGCTAGCCATCTATGTCCTGTGGCCGAGTTTGGCACTTGTAAGGATGTAAGTGAGCCGGATTGTTATCTGTCAGTACAGTGAATGTCTGTCCATAAAGGTAGTCATGGAATTTCTCACAAATGGACCATTTCAAGCAAAGAAACTCCTGCTTATAGAGCAGAACAGTGGCGCCCGACTTGGTAAGTGTCCTGCTAGCATATGCAATTACTGGTGGGTGCCCATCCTGTTGCTGATATAAGACTGCTCCAAGACCATGACAGCTGGCATCTGTGTGTAGCTCAAAGGGGAGAGAATAATCCACATAACCAAGAACTGGAGGTGTTGATAGACATTTCTTGAGCTCCTGGAAAGCACTCTCTTGAGCTTGTCCCCACTGCCACTGAACTTGCTCTCTCTTGGGAAGGTGGGATTTCTTTCGAGGAATCCTAGGCATCAGTTCTGATAGAGGCCTGGCTATTTTAGAAAAAGTCTTTACAAACTTCCTATAGTAGCCAGCGAATCCAAGGAATTTTCTGACGTCCTCTGGTGTGCAAGGTGTAGGCCAATCCTGAATCTTATTGATCTTCTCTGGATCTGCCTCAACTCCATCTTCAGAAACTATGTAGCCCACATATTTCACACGTCTCTTGAAGAATTGGCATTTCTTCGGGGCTAGCTTCTAACCACATTCCCTCAGTCTCTGTAGGACACGTTCCAATCTCTCTAGATGTTCTTCAAATGTTCTTGAAAAAATAATCAAATCGTCAAGTCCTTGATGGTCTTCCGATTCAGCTGTCTGAAGTCGACACACATCCTCAGCTGGCCTGATTTCTTCCTTGCCAATACGACGTTAGATGCCCATGGACTATGAGAATGTTGTATCACTCCAGCAGATAAGAGTTGTTGAAGGTGTGTCCTGACTTCATCATACATAGCAGGTGGAATACGTCTGTGTCGCTGTTTGAATGGGACATCGTCGACCAGATCTATCCTATGTTTGACTGCATCCGAATGGCCTATGTCGTCTTCACCCTTTGAAAATATGTCATGAAACTTCATGATGACCGATATCCC